AATTCAGAATGAAAACCAAGTTCACAGGACTCCTGTTAGTCATAACCCATATCAGATAATTGAATATTCAGACGGTGAAATAGAAATACAATTTAATTCAAATAGAAAAACTAGAATAAATATAACAGATGATAATATCTTAATACCCTCTTCTAGAATTCCTGTACCAGCTAGGCACTCTACCTCCTCTTCTGTAAGAAGTGAACCTATAATTCAAGGATTGAGTAGGAGTACTAGTAATATTCAAAGACCTGTTTATAAACCACTAGATCATAATCCCTTTAAACCAGAATCTAGTAGTTCTGAGTTTGACTTTCAAATATTAACCCTCCAGAAAAAAGAAAAGGTTAATATAGAATTCTTAAAAAGTGATTATTTATCTAACGAAAATACTGAAATAAGAAATTGGTATTTAAAGGAATTTTCTCAAGAATTAATAGATGCTTTTCATAAGAGATATAATAAATTTTTAAAAAAGAATAAGAAAACTATAGGGTTCTTCACATGGTTGATAGCCATGTTAAAAGAAAAAGATATTCATGTACCTAATTTTGAACTTAATACCTTAGAATCCCAATATTAAACATTTTATACTAGCGAAGAAAAAATAATACAAAGTATCTATCCTCCTGAACAAAATTTACAAATAAAAGGACCTAATAAAGAAGCCTAGAAACTAAGGCTTGCCCCTTTAAAATAATTCCAACAGAACATACTCATAAGGTAGAAATAATTCCCCATATGATAGAACAAAATAATTATACAAATTTATATTTACAATCTTTAGGAAAACAGGCTACTAGAATAGAAAATATTATCAGGAAACCGCATGAAATCACAATAGAATCATAAAAGAATGTTTTATTCAAACCACCACCTGAGATTAATGAAGAAAGATTCCATTTAAGAGGAATGAGAAAGAAAGAAGGAAATAAAGAATTACTAGATGAATTAGTAAAAACGTTGGCACAATTAAATATTCAAGACAAAAAAGCAAAGGGAAAAATGATAGAATCAGAAGCTATGGTCCTTCAAGAAGAAATAATTTCCACTGAAAATATAAACAAGATGGAAGAAGATTTTAAAACCAGCCAGCTAAACAATATGGAAGAAGATTTTCAAAATAATAATGTAAACATAATAGATTATGGTAAAAAATGGAGACCAACTGTACAAACAAGAATGTATCATCCAAGACCTACCCCAATAGATATACAATTTGAAGAACATCTCATCTCTCATACACTATCATACTCTGGTCGTACAATTGTCAACTGGAATATTGATGGCATATCTGACCATCAGATTCTTGATAAAAGCATATTACTATGTATGCTACTGCCTGCAAACTGGCAGGTAATCATGATCAGGAAGTTGCCAAGGCCATTGTCTGTGGATTTACAGGATGGCTAAGAGGATGGTCGGATTTTCACATGAGTGAAACCACCAAGCATCAAATATTGAATACTACTAAACAATGGATAGTAAAAAATAAACAAAATCAAGAAATACCCCACAGTGAAAGTGATGTTGTTAATACTCTTATATACACCATAACTCTTCACTTCGTAGGAAGCACATCATTATTAAATGCTAGATCTGAAGATCTCCTTTCTAATTTAAGATGTCCCACACTATCACACTATAAATGGTATAAAGATGTTTTCTTTTCTAGACTATTATCTAGAGAAGATAATAGTGTTGACCATTGGAAAGAAAAATTTATAGCAGGTCTACCACACCTCTTTGGAGAAAAGGTAAAAACTAGACTAAAAAATAAAAATGGAGGTGTTATGGCATATTCTTTATATACTTTAGGAGAATTATCAGCAGAAATTTGTGCAGAAGGCTTAGCCTTATGTACAGACTTAAAACTAAAAAGACAACTTGACAAACAAAGAATGACAGGGACAAAAGAATTAAGTGATTTCTGTGAACAATTTGGATATAATACAATACCTTTAACTGAGAAAGGTTATAGGAAAAAACATAAGAATAAAAAACCCAAATTTGAAAGAAATAAAGCTAAAGACAAGTTCATTAAAAAGTTTGCGCCTAAATCTAAAATTAAAAAAGGAAAAAGAAAAATACCCATTTGCTATAACTGTGGAAAAGTTGGACATTATAAGAATAATTGTAAAATAAAAAAGAAAATAAATGCTTTAAATTTAAATGACGATATAAGAAAACAAATTTATAATCTTATCTATATAAAAGAAGAATCTGAATCTGAATCTGATACTTCTAGTGAAAACTCTTTAATAGGGACAATAGAGGATGAAGAATTCATATTTACTAGTTCGGATTCAGAATCAAACTCAAAATCAAACATGGAAATAGAAGAATGTATCTGTAAATCTGTTAATACTTTAACTAATGAACAAAATCTAATCATAGACCTAATAGATAAATTAACAGATCCAGAAGCTAAGAGGAATGCCTTAACACAATACATCCATATTACTAAATCAAAAAATAAACCAGCTTCTATAATTAAGCCACATGAAGAATATAGTTTAAATGAAATACTTAAAAGGCTTAATAAGAAAAATCCTGAAAAAGAACCAACTATTTCTGAATTAAAACATGAAATAAATGAAGTTAAAACAGAAATCCAACAATTGAAAAATAGAAATAGAATATTAGAAATGGCAAATGATTTTTCTGAATCAGATATAGATACCAACAATGAACTAGAGTTTGATAATTTATTAAAAAACTATAAAAATATTACTTTAGAAGACTCACCTAAGGATGAAATCCTTGAAACCTCTGATACAGGTTTACAGAACAATAATTATGTAAATACATTAAATAGAGTAATAACTTAAAAATGGTTTGTGTTAATCAGAATAATTGTAGATAAAGAATACAGCGTTCAATCTCTTGCATTAATAGATTCTGGAGCTGATTTGAACTGCATAAACGAAGGACTAGTTCCTACAAAATATTTTCACAAAACTACCAAAATATTAAATACGGCTGATGGTAGTAAGTTGATTATTAAGTATAAATTATCCAATGCTGTTATATGCAATAATGGCAATTGCTTCGAAATGCCATTTATTATGGTAAGAGGTTTGAGTCAAGCAGTAATCCTTGGGACACCATTCCTAAACTTACTTTACCCCTTAAAAATAGATAGTACTGGAATAGAATAATAAAAAATCAGCTAGAACACTTAGAAAATCGGTCATGTGATTAATGGTAATTGGCGGTCAAGGATTCTCACCACCAATGAACCTTGATGGGGGGTCAACTAATGTCTAAATGATGTGAAACTTGGCTAGAAGGCTAATAGTGCTTTATATTAAAAATCCACCACGTTTCACCACGATTTGAGATTGTTTAATAGGATTTCAAATATTAGAATGGTAATGAAATTTGGACGGTAGGTACTCAAGGCCTTATCTCACAAGCACCAAATGTTTCAACTCATTCTGAGATGGTTTGATAGGGTTTCCAGAATAGACCAGTGGTCAAGCCTTCAAAGCCATATCTAACCAATGGTGAGTATTGATCTTATGCCTTTTTGCTTCCATTTCTTCGTGAAATATGGACATAGGCTCATGGGATATATTCCCAACTGTCCACAAGATTTCATATTTATCTGGACTTGATTCATCAAGCTTCTGGATTGACCGGGCTGTTAGACACTTCATCATTATATTTGATGGCTTATGAACTTATTCAAACACCTCATGCAGCTTTTATTTTAGACAAATTCATATGTTCGGTTCTAGAAGAATTCTATATCGATTTCCAGGCTTATGACTTAGGGTCAATCAAATATCATTGACTCCTGGTCTTAGCATATATGGACATGCTCTATACTATTTCTGTCTGATTTACGGGATTTGCCTGTTCTTTAGGCTATGGGTGACCATAGCGTCAATGTCTATTTGAGAGACTGGATGGGGGACAGAATTGTCCTGTGAGGTAGAAGGAGGGGGCTACCGTGGTGGTACACCATCAGAGTGATGGGAATTGACCTCATGGTTAGCCGACTATCATGCAGCGTCGATACAATCGATATTTTCTATCATCGTGTGAACCATATCCTCAAACTTATTCATGCGCTCTTCCCGCACATCACCGGGCTCGCTTACGACCATTACGCTGACCATTTCACTATGAAGGTCAACGTTAGTGGCAACAAAGGGCTTGCGAACTTAACGGGTTGTACGTGGTAGGTCAGTCAGCAGGGGGGCAGCATGCCCTGACTGAGCTCGTGTTCGACCCCTGGTCTTAGCACATTGGGCATGCTGAAACCTAATTCTATTCTGATTTCTGTTCGGGCTTTTGTGATCCAAAACACAACTAAACAAGAGTCATAATGAAACAATGAAACTTGTCAACACACTCATACTGCTTGTAGGTTATATAGAGGAACTCATGAAAACCATAGAAAAACCACCTCTAAACAAATTATAATTGTGTGGGTAAATAGGGGTGAATGTATAAATGATAAATAAGGAAAATGCAAAAGAAGATAATAGAAGGGAACTGCAAATATAGAATAGCAATCATAAAGCATAAATAACTTAGCAGTAACTTCTGGGAGCTTAATGATAGAAGATCATGCGTTAAACAAGAGTGAAATTAGTTATGGCCTTAAGGGAAAACATTCTCTACCCTCAAGAACAAAGCAAGTGAAAGAGATGTTTCAAGACTAAACCTGGATTCACTCCATCCTTGAAATTAAATTTACATACATACACTTCAAAACTCTTATTTCTAGAGTCCTCCCAAAAACTTCAATCGCCTTTGATGGCCTTTCAATCACTCTTAACTACAAGAAACTATTTAACTGATATATATAAGAGCCAAACTCTCATTCATTATTTTTAAAGAAAAGTTTCTACAAATTTGTAATGGAGTAGAAAGATAAACTGGCACAATGAGATCATATTACTGGACAATCAAATTTGCATCAAATAAAATTAGGTTCAAGTGATATACTCGTAGAGAAAATTATATGGGATAATAAGAGTTCTCACTTTTTTAACAATATTACGGATTGGCTCGATGATGCTTCGTGGTTCCACAGTACCACATGTCACACTCGGAAGCAGCGGGGTGAACGCAAAATAATTGCGAGGTGACACCACTTGAACATTATACAAGGAACTGTCTATGTTCTTTAAGAAACTTGTGCCTGCCCATCCTGATCCAAGTACTACTAACTTCTTTTTCTCTACAATTTGAGAACCTTCCATACCATTGGTACCATTATTTGGATTTGATTCCGCATAAACCATAAGCCCTCCGCTGCTGCATTAAAAAATTTCCCATTCGTAAGACTGTAAACTTATATAGAACCATGCTAAGAATAACTGAATAGCAATACAAGAATGATTTAACCATACAAAAAAGTCATGCCCATAAAAAGATACCATTAGTTCATAACATAGAATAGCATAGAGAGCAGATGTCCTCGTGAAGAAAAGGAAAAATACAGATATGCTTGCATTCAACTAAGGAAAACGTTAATACCAGACATATTGAATAAGTATATTGAATGTCTCTCAATTCACAAATCCAACAAAATATAAGACTATCATGTTTTTTCTCTCTAGGTTTTCCCTCTCTGAGGTTCTTTTCTCTCAGAGGCTCTCTCTGTCTAGATTTATCTCTCTTTTAAGTATTTCTCTCCCTAGAAGGCACTATAATAAATCCACCGAAACACACTCTCTCTCTTCCTCTAACAAACTTCTCTCTCTTCTTTCTTCTTCTTATCTCTCTAAGAAGAAAGGGTAATTTTTTCTCTCTTCTTCTTCTCTATAAGAGAAGGATAACTTTCCCTCTCTTCTTCTTCTCTTATGAGAAGGCTCTCTATTTTTCCAAATACACCAAGAGAGGTACGCCCAAAGTGGGGAGAGATAACCAACCAAGAGAGCACTCAAGCCCCTCACATGATTGGCTTTATATGGAACAATGGGATGATTATCCTATATAATCTCTTAAAAAGTGGCTCATCTCTATCTCTTTTCAACTAAGAGATAAGAGGATATCTCTACCCAAAAGCATCACGTAAGATCCTCTTTGCATGGGATGATCACTTGGTCAACAAGTCATCCTTTTGACTTTCCATTAGAAGCCCCCACAAATAGGGAATACCACCGGTGCCCCTCCCTCATGGATGAGACACCCAACAATCTCCCCCTTCAGTCCCAGGAGGGAAGTTTCCTTTCGCAGATCAACCAGGTACTCAGATGACACTCATGCAGCCATGCTTCTGCACAACTCTTGCTTGTCCCTGGCCAACGTCTTCAACATCAAATCCAACATACACCTGTTGGTATGGATTTTCCTAGCTGCAAAAGTTTCTCACCCTTCTGCAGCTCGGATTGCCATTAAACAGCTCCCCCTGCAAAAGTAAGCAGGTATCCCAAGATTGACTTCCTGAAGTCTAGTTCTCCAGCCATGTCGTCATTTGTATATCCATGTAACAAAGTTTACCTCCCCCAAAGCACAAACACACTTTGAATGTTCCTTAGAGAAATCTAAATATCGAATGGATTGTTGCCTAGTGTTCCTTGCCAGGATTAACAATAAATCTACTCACTACACCAACTGCGTGTGCGATATATGACATCATGCACACCATGGCATACATCCAACTTCCTACGAACAACCCATAGATTATTTTCTGCATGTCTAACTTCTTCTTTTCAGTTGAAGGGCCCTTCTTGGCACTTAACTCCCTTTCCTTCTTGCCTTTAGGCAACTTTACCAAGTGATAGGTGTCATTATTATGCAAGGATTCTTCATCTTCTTGCATACCTTTAACCCATATCCCTTTGTGTTGGTCAGCCTTGACTTCCTAGTGGCTTTCTGGTCTACCCTTTTCAGTGTATAGGACATACTTCGATGAGGGGTACTCGGTAGAGGGTTTATGCCCCCTAGAAAACCTTCTCAATTCAATTGTAGGTGGTACTTCGTGAACAAGCGGCTCCCCTTGTTCCACATCACCCGAATCTGGCATGTCAAACTCTTGGGACCCATCCTCTTGTTTCACTTTTCCCCAGTCTTCATTTACCGATGGGGATCGTTTATTAGGTAGCATGCTATGAGGACTACTTCACCCCAATATGGCTTTAGTAATTTGGCAGTGGATAGCATACCCCTAAAATCCTGAAAGATCTCAAACATATGATCGTTCGATTTTATGAAATATACCCACACCTTTCTTGAAGTATCATCGATGAAGGTGACGAAGTGTGATGCATCACTTCCATAGGACCACACACATCTGAATACATTCTTGACACTTAGAAGAATCTACTTCTTTGCTGAGATTTCCATTCTTTTTTCAATCATATGACCGAGACGCCTATACCGCAGGTCTAATGAGAATCCTTCCATAGTGGCATTAACCTCACCATTAGAGTTTTGCACCTATATTATGTAGAGTGAACAACACTTCTTGCCCTTTGCTATGATAAGAGATCCCTTTGTCAACTTCCAATGTCCCTTGTCGAACACTGAGTGATACCCTACATCATCTAAACACCCTCCTGAGATGAGGTTCACACAGATATCTGGTAGATGGTTCTTTAGCACAAGCGTCATCCAATATCAGTCTTGATGTGTACATCTCCTTTACCCATAATCTTTGAGGAACCGTTGTTTCCCATCTTTACAGAGCCAAAATCACCTATTTTGTAAGAAGCCAAGTAGCATCTATGAGGAGTAACATGAAACGATGCTCCAATATCCACAACCCAATCAAAGTTACATAAACTTGATGCAATATTGATGCACCCATCACCACAGTTTCCGTCCGCACCAACATTTGTAGTCACTATAGTGGTTTCCCTGCCATCATTCTTGGAATTGTCCTCATCCCACTCTTTCTTGAGCTTTCGGCACTCTTTCTTGATGTGCCCTTCCTTGACATAATGAAAACATGTGATCCCATTTCTCATCTTCGATCTAGCTTTATCATTAGATCTTCCTCTATTTGTGACAAGGGTTTATGAGTTCGATGTGTTGGAGGATTTTCTACTCGTCTCCTCATTCAGTAGGCTACTAGTGACCTGACTCATAGTCACTAACCCATCTGGTGCTGAGTTACTCACAGAGACTACCAGGGGGGATCTCCCAACTATTCAGTAGTAAACAGAGGAAAAACAGAGCTTGTAGCTCACCTTCCAGGAACAACTTCATCGTTGTGAGTTGGTTAACAATGCCTTGCACCTCATTCAGGTGCTCTGCAATGGATCCCCTATCCATGAACTTCATGTTCACAAATTTTCATATTAAGAATGCTTTATTTCTGGCGGTCTTCCTCTTGTAAAAGTCATGTAGCTTATCCCACAATGACTTGGAGGATGTCTCCACCAACACATGGTGGAACACATTTTCTTACAACCATTGTCAGATAGTTCCAAGAGCCTTTCAGTCCAATCTCTTCCACTCATCGTCTATCATACCTTCGAGCTTGTGTTCTACCCCTTCAATGGGTGTGTACAAGTCCCTATAGTATAATAGATCTTCCATCTTTAGCATCCAGATGATCCAGTTATTCCCATTGAGCGATATCATCCTGCTCCCGATACTGGAATCTATCTTTAATCCACAAACATTGTCTTTCACACCCGCTTTTCTATTGACCGGCAGTCAAGGAGATTCACTATCTGTCAAGCTCCTACTGTAGATGAAGTATTCGTGACAGTCAAGGATCCGTTGTTTGTCAACTCATCGGTGGTCAAGCTCCCACCAACTATCAATTCATTGGCGGTCAAGTATCCACCGAAAGTCAAGCACTCACCGGCTGTGAATTCATCGACAGTCGAGTATACGTCGACAATCAAGTATCCGTCGACGGTCAGGCACTCACCAGTTGTCAACGTGTCATCGTCAGTCAATAGATTCACCAACAATAAAGTGATTCGTTGTTGATCAAGGTGGTGACTGACGATCTGTTGGTCAAGACCTTCTTTGCACAGTGGCAATTCACTGTTGGTCAAGGTGGTAACTGATGGTCCGTCGGACAAAACCATCTTTGCATAGTGGCCACTCACTGACAATCTCTGACTGACGACGTGTCCCAAAAACGATTCGTTTGTCAATCAAGTATGAGCCAATCCTACAAGGAGATTTCTTCCTTGCTCATCATATGACCGCTAAATATCGAAAACGGTGAAAGGGAGGACCTAAAGGTGTGTAGGATTCAAGGGAAATGAGCTCTGATACCAAATTTATGAGCATGCACACAAATGCGCATAACACAACGGAACCCAAATTTATGGGACAGAAAAATATGCCAAAACCGATGTGTGTGTGTATGAGTAGGAACTAAGCAATAAAGCAAATAACATACTGGCACTGAGATTTTACGTGGTTCACTTTTTTAGACTATATCCACAGGAGAAAGAGACAGATCCACTATTAAATAATAGTTACGATATTTTTCTGAGAAACAAGTTTTCTTGGGCTCTCTGATTTCTTCTAGAGGCTTTTCTCTCTCAAGATTTTTTCCTCTAAGGTTCTTTTCTCTCTCAGAGGCTTTCCCTCAGTCTAGATTTATCTCTCTCTTCTAGGCTTTTCTCTATTTAGGAGACACTACGATAAATCCACATAAACACTCTTTCTCTAACAGCCTTCTCTCTCTTCTTTCTTCTTCTTCTCTCTCTAAGAAGAAAGAATAACTTTCTATCTTTTTTCTTCTTCTCTCTAAGAGAATGATAACTTTCTTTCTCTTCTTCTTCTCTATAAAGAGAAGGCTCTTTATATTTTCTAAATACACCAAGAGAGGCACGCCCAAATAAATGGCTCAAGGTGGGAAAAGACAACCAACCAAGAGAGCACCCAAGCCCTTCACATGATTGGTATTATATGGGCCAATGGGATGAGTTTCCCATAACCTCTTAAAAAGTGGTTCATATTTATCTCTTTTCAACTAAGAGATAAGAAGATATCTCTACCCAAAACCATCACGTGAGATCCTATTTGCATGGGATGATCACGTGGTCAATAAGTCATCCTTTTTACTTTCAATGAGAAAACCCACAAATGGGGAACATCACCGGTGCCCCTCCCTCATGGGACAGGACACCCAACAAAAAGATGGATCATCATCAGAGCCCTTTCCCAACTATTTGGGGTTGACTATATTAATTTTGATCCGCCATTCTGCTTTATCAAGGGTCATGCCCTCAATGAGGCCCTATGGGAATGCCCTAGCATAAACAGATAACATAGATTCCGGATTCATGGAAAGTTTTGATAATGTTTTACATTAGCTGCCTATCTAATACAACCCACCTCCTTTACTTGGGCTTCGAACGGGTTAAAAGAAAATTTAAGGTCCTCACCCTTCTTAGACCAAAAGATGGATAATTCAGAAAAATCCAAAAAAAGAAAAAATATAAAATAGGCATTTGACAAGAAAAACTCACAAACCATCATCAAAAACATCAAATTTATATTGATTTTACAAAAGCAAAATATATAATTTTTATAATACCCTAGTATAGACCGAAATACTAGTCTCGAAAAAGGGGTTGAGTCTGAGTAACTTGACAGAGTAGTGCACTAGGACTCAGCCGAGTTTTCAAACGCTGGTCAGAAATGTCTACATGTTGGTACTGGATATCTATAGGTGACAATAAGATATAAGATAAATCATTAAATGAATAGTTACATCAGCACAAGGTTTGGAAACATTAGTGTTTATTGTTTTGTTTCAGAACATTAGTGTTTCTTGATGCCACCGTTTGGCGCACTAGACCGCCTGATTTTATTTCCCTTTTTTTACTCCACGATGTCCCGCAATTGCCCCATCGAAGGGTTGTAAATTTTTGAATTGTATTTTTTTTTATTATTATTTAATGAAAAACAAGTAGGGGGCCTTCTCCCCCACTACATTACCCAAAAGAAAAAAACATTAGTGTCTACTGTTTTGATGAGTGTGTCAAAATTCTCAACATGTCTGGAACATGTGTATCAGACATATGACAAAACATATCCAACACACGTATTCACAAATTACTTTGAGGTTATCCAATTAATTTCCTTAAAGGCATCAATATTCAGAAATAACCACACTACACTCAGATATCCCCTTCCTATACAAATCAAACTAAGACATTCTTCAAGCAGTTATATTAACTTCCTTTAAGTATCTGACCTTAACAACAGTATTAGAAGGTGATAACCAAAAATAAAATCTACAAGCTAGTAAACTAAAGGTATTTTACAGCAATACATATCACTGCAAAATACTGTTGACCACATGTCCATCACATCTAGAGACCATAGTGAGGTCAAGATATTAACAGTAAAAAGTCTATGTACAGTAAAGAAAACCAATATAGTACGGGAAACCAAGACATTTCGTCAAGTAGTTTCGGCATCCATGGCCATATATATAGAGTTATTTGTTCAAATCACAGGCTTCCAGACCAAATCCTTTTTACTCTCAAACAGGATGATGTCAAAATAGTCAACAAGTTTATAGGAAGTTGTGAGCAAGATTTAACATGCATACTACCTTGAGATGCTTAGTATGCTTTTCCTTGTAATCTTACATGTTTAAACTTTTTGTCCAACATTTAATGCTTAGCAAGAATGGCCCAGTGTGGAATACTCAACTGGCTCAGTAAATTGTCCTCGCTATAGATTTACTTTCTTATTTCTGTTATGGTTCATTATTTTTTAGGATAGATTATGAGTATTGATTCTTTAAGAAATTGCATGCATCTATTCTAGCCGTATTGATGCTGCAGATTTTCGTTTAACTTGGCAAGCAACAAAAACAAAAAGCCATAACTTATAAGCAACATATTTCTCCCAAGGTAACACACCAGCTTTCTTTCATTCAAGATTTGCCCCTCGCAGTGGCTCATGAAAGCTTGAATATTTACATCAATTCTGAGAGCCACTCAGAAAGCACCTTTTATCCCTTCCCAAATTTTCTCCATCCTTTCCTTTCTTGACTACCATATCACTGTCTAGCTTCCACGAAATCCCGCAGCCCCACTCCAAGAAGGCCTCAGCAGACTTAAGAAGAATTTGACCTTTCAATTCATTACCGTTAAGGAATGCACTCAAAACCTTGCTTACAGCACTTCCATTCAAAAAACTGGAGTACCTTCTCCTACTTCACTTGTATGCATCCCCGATGCAGTTTAAACTTTAGAACCCATAATACATAATATGGAGGCTCAAAATGGAAAGGTACATCCAATAATTTGTCAACGTTTGTGTATGACCACTGAAATCTGATCATCAGATAAGAGCAAACTCAGATCCTGAAACTACAGATGTCCTTATGGCACAAAACAACAGAATCTTCAGCATGTCAAGTCATGGAGACCCTATATCTTGGGTGTGGAGAGTATTGCCAGTCCCAAATCTATCAGCTTTTAGTGGTTCCTTAGTGACTGCAGATGGAAATTTGCATTCCCACATTACTCCTATTCCCACACAGGTCTTGCCAATAAATAAGTTGAATGCATAAAGAAATTATGTATAGCAGGACAAAAAGTACACAATTACTTATGTGTCTAGAATACACACACACAGCAAGAAAGAAGCAATAGGATATGTATACATGTCTTGTTGCTTTTTCTTTTTCATCCAAACTCCTTGTCTACTGAATGTGTATATACAATTGGAAGAATGGATATACAATGCAGGTCCTACAGAAATGTAACAAGAGAGAACATTCCCAAGATGTCATTAGAAGCTCTAGGTCCAATTTACATGTGTCAGTATGATCTGTGATATGACAAATTGGAGACAATTTGTCTCGCACCTAGCACCAGAATAAACTGCATGTATCATACAGTTTTGCAGCTGCTCAATGAGACCAAGAATCATTGCACCAACCACTAAATAAATGGAATGATGGTGCCTAATTTTCTTCACCCAAGCAGTACTCCTATTGCCAAATGCATAATTGTTGACAAATTTTATTGTGAATGATATATATATTTTTGGAAACACATTCTGGAAATAAGAAGCAGTCAATTTTTCAAATTTTCTGGGAAACCCGTCTCTTTGGCACTTCATCTATGTTTCACATGTATCTATCCCATATCACCCCGATCTTCCCATTTCTCCCTCGCAATTGTATCAAGAATTTCATATGTTTCCGTCGATTTGACAAAAACCTTTAGAAAATATTATCTCCAATTTCTTTCCTCACTGCTTCCTCCATATATCTACCCATATGTTTTTGAAAGTTGCAATGTGAACATTTCCAAGTTCCCAAACCATGACCTTTTAGAATCCGGACCCCCACTTCCCATCTAAGTCATTTCAAACACAATGGCACCTTCCAGCAACTACATAACATGACTTCATCTCCAATCAGAAAACCAAGTTTTGTAGTGCCTAGAAATGAAATAATTACTAAATTCTACACGCTGGAAAGCATCCTTGAAAGCGCAAGCCCACATTTTACATACAAATATGCTCCTACTGTAACTCATGTTCATGAATATGTGTAAGGCCACAATCCCAAACACATCTTACGAGGCATTTCCTTTCTAATTGAAAAAACTGCCAGGTTTTGATTAGCCTAACCAACAACCTTTTAAATTGTCTAAGAAGATTTGATATCATTGCTAAGCCCAACTTCATGGTAAACCAAAGATAAAAACAAAAACAAAACAAAAAAAATCTGATTCAACTGAAGCCAACTCCTCATTGAACATAATTGTTAAGATCAACTTATGACCACAACATCAGTCTCTAAACTACTTGAAGTTTTACCGAATTTTACTAAACAACTATTTTATTGAACAACAAACCGCATTGCACTGAAACGCACTCATGTTTACCAGGATCACTCATTTAAGCCGGATCAATAATAAGGGGGAAAAAATGAAGGTTAAATATGCAATTACTAGCCATAACTGTTACTATTACCATTAACTCAGCCAATGAGAGTAGTTTAATCACAGATCAGTAAGAATCAACAATTAAAGGTTTATTTCTTCAGGTATATCAGCAAAAGCATTTAACAACTATCTTTGGATTTATTCAGAAAATGCCCTGAATCATCTTTGATCATATGAAACGTAAGAAAACCAGATCAAAACACATTCCTGCAAAACATTGAGATCCATAAATCCTTTTCAATTGAACTCATGCAAGTATCGTTTACTATGTTACTGCACTCCCTTTTGCTTTGTTAATAACTGGAAATGTTATGCCTGTGTTGATCAAAATTAGTTGCAAATGTCCCGTCCTTGAATGGCAATAGCTACTGTTGGAGTAGAGCATGGATTAAACTTTAACACTTCGCACCATTAATTTCTTTTTTTCATTAGATGCAGAATCCATCATCAAGCCAAAGATATCAGTCACAGATCACAAAGCCATAAAGCAAACGGTACTTCAAATAAAATAGGAGTAAGGATTGGAGAGAGAGAGAGAGCACCTCACTGCGCAAACCAGGAGTAGCTTGCTGTAAGCTGAACTGTCCTTGAAAGCTCGGGCAACACGCGTAAAAGCAGCCATGTCTGAAACAACCAAGGATAAAGTTTTTGGGCTTTTACTCCGGCTTTATTGGTCTGATGTGGCAAAATTCCGATATCACCGGACACTTGAAGAGAGCGAGATATTTAAGTGACGGTTTTACCCACGTGTTGCGTCCTAAGAGGGGTGGGTATCCCGTTTTTATTTGGAATGGCAGATACGAGGCGCCGATTACCATTGGTCTGCAAAAGGCCGTCGAGTGAGATCCACATCGTCACTGTGGCTGCTCGTGTGAGGCACTTTATTACATGAGATTGTATACTATTGGGTCGATATTGTCTCCAAATATTTTTTTCTTTTTTTGAAATATATTATCCGCCTAATACATTATTTGTACAGGATCATTTGAATACCTGTAAATATATTGTCTATGAAATATATTACTGTTTAATACATTACTTGCAAATGGATTGTTACTGTTTGGTAGTATTTAGATACAACCTGAGAAATACGTTGCTATTGTTTGGCTATGTCTCAAAGATATACATTGCTAATGTTTGACACTAAATCACACACAAAAAAAAGCTCGAAAGGATGCTTCATGGTATGCCTAAAAGTTTCTTAAAGATGTCTCACAATTGCAATAAAGGAAGAAAAAGTTAAAAGAACCCAGAGAGAAGAAGGTTACACAAAACAGCTTCTCAATAACCAATCCATAAAGAGAATCAGATAAATCTAATTAACGTATAGAGAGAGAGAAATCAATTTAAGCAGCATGTATCATACTGTATTTAATTTCAGCAGCATCATGTATCATACTCAGATAATTTCAGCAGCATGTAGCTTACTTTGATTCTAAAAAGAATGCACCGAAATTCATATCAGAGAGTATCAAAATAATTCATTTGTTATTCATATCAGATATAACCTAAACTCCAAAAAAATTTCTTAAATTGTAGAGAGAGAGAGAGAGAGCTCATATCAGGATTCAGAAAAAGAGCTCGAAAAACTCAAGAGAGAGATTCCCAAATGATGAATCATACAAAAATCTCAAAAGAAATTCTACAGAGAGATACCTAAAAAAAAAATGATTCATCTTATGAAATAAATATTGGTAACTACTGTGTGATAACCCCATGATCAAGATTTCTGAAACTTTTCATAATTACTAATTTTATGTAAACTAAAATAACAAGGACGAATCAAATCAACCTATAACTTTACTAATTTTATGGAAACTAGAGTAACAAAGAATGAACCAAATCAACATAATCTTACCTGCTCAAATCAACCCCTTTGGCCTGTAAAATGTTTACTGTTGCATGAATCTTTTACCCACCAAACCCTACTTTTATAGGGCATTAAAAAAAATGAAAGCAGTAAATTTTTTAGGGCATATTTATGTCATAAAAAAATAGGTAAAACCCTTAACAGAGAGAGAGAGAGATAAAAAAATTGTTCTTACTTAGACACGGTAAGAGAGATAGATGTTGACTTCGAATAGGGTGAGAGAGGTTGCTCCAAGAAAGAGAGAAATGTGGTAGTTTTGCTCGAGGTTGCTCCAATTGTGTTGTTCCGAGAGAGAGAGGTAGCAAATTTGCTCGCAGAGTTTACCCGCACAGCTTGCTTGTAGAAAGAGAGAGCAGAAAATGGAGGCTCGAAGAGGGACATAGAAGAGAGGCTAAGTTAGGGATTTGGGGGAAATAACGTGTAAACAATTATCCGTCGCGCCCCGTAATTGATTTCTTAGCTTTCCCACGTGTAATAGTTTTCACGATATGTGGGGCAATGATGCGTAATCTATTTTCATTTTCTTACTCTTTAGGTGTACCCAAACATCAAAAATGCTAGATTTTCTTGTAATATGTTTCCTTGTAATGGATTTCCATGTATCCAAACGACCCCTAAATGGATAACCTGAGAAATACATTACTACTCTTTGGCTATATCGGCAAGAAATCTGGGAAATGCATTACCAATATTTTGGTTAGGAAATGTTGTGTTAGTGTTGTATATAGTAAAGTGGTTTTTTTTAATACCATGTTTTTTTGTTTTTAAGATAAATAATCAATTAAAACTACTTTATTTTTTAATATGTAAAGGTAATATCCACATAGGTTAATTTTATTTCTCTTCTCCCAATAATTATTTCGTTAAAAAACTATCACTACTTTCTATGACATTCTAATAAAATGTTATGCAACTATCCCACTTATGCGAAGACTTGTTATGAAAAATTTTATTGACTTTCTAATAAAATGGTGTACTTGACTATAAATTATCACTACTTCTTTTTTTTTATCACAAAATTTCATTGAAATGTGGAATAAAAGTCATCATGACACCATTCCAATAAGATTTGCTAATACTATCATCATCACCATTCTAGAGAGAGAAAAATAAAGGTCTTAATCATCACCATTCCAAAGATAGAGAGAGTGTGAAATGTTAGTATTAGCTATCACCATTCTCTCTTTAGAATTATCATAATCATCATAGCCTTTTTCCAATTAATTGGGGTTGGCTACACAAATCATGGTCTATTATTCTGCTCTATTTAAGGTTATACCCTCAGTAAAGAGAAAAAATAAGAACGTGAAATAATATTGCCATTATTCCAACAAGATTTACTAATGCTATCATAGAGATAGAGAGAGACTGATAAGAGACGTTCCTCATCACTCCAACAAGACAGAGAGAGAGTAAGTGAGGTTATGTGTGTATGTGTGGCAGAGTAAGTGTAGCAATTCGATAACAAAAATTCCCAATTCCAAAAACCATTTCGGTCAAATAAAGAGACAGAGGAACCAAAATAAAAAAGTATGGATTTCACTCCACTTTATATGGTACCACTTGTTGGAAATACTTCATGTTAATCCGAAGCACCCAGTCTTCTTCAATCATTTATAGGAATCCCTTGCTAATATTATGTCTGCAATTATTTCATTATATGCTCGCATGAAGATGGTCAAACAAGGCCATGAACCTAATTAAAAGTTCTGTAGACCTCTCGTATATATGGGTTTGCTGTCGGTTTCCTCAAATCCACAATTGCAGTACTAATTTCTTTCACGGCTACAACTATTGGCTCTATAGTATCAACTATGGTTTTCTTTTTCTTCCTCAATGTCATAAATCGATGTTGATTTCTCGAAGGGATTGGTGGTCATTCTATTTGTCTTTGATTAGACCGGTGTCTCTTGCATATCCTCATCACCACCTAGTTTGTCAACAGCGTCATCATCATCTAAGCCTACAACCATCTCTGTAACTTCCTCAACATCATTATCAATGTCCCTCTTGTCCTGGCACCAGTACCCTCGACAAAATCATTGCTGACAATTATGCTTAATTCCTTCCAATATTCAAAGGTCTTCCCTTTAAAGTTATTTGTAAGCGGATTAAACTACAAGATTAATATAATATGCAATAACTTAAATAACTAATTTAAAATTTTTCAACTAGTAGAAAATTAGATATATGAGAAATATACACATACCATTACATTGTCATCCCATAAAGATTCATCTATAATGACCATATGTGATTCTTCATTCCATCCAAACCCACTTTGATTTTTCATTTGCTTGACAGTCTTGTAGTTCTTTGACCATGTTGTAAATTTATTCTTAAAACCATCCCTTCTAAGATTCATTCGAAGATTTGCATTAAACTTTTTCTCAATTGCACTCCATTACTCATTTTTAAAAGTTGGTTCGGGCTCCTTAATGAGCAAGTATTGCTCAACAAGTAGCTCCAACAAAACTGTCCCCATTTTTTAAGTCCATTTAATTTCCCCCCTGTCTCGGGATTTGGTTGAGTCACATAAATTTCATCATCCATGTCTAGCATGAATTATCAAATATCACTATCACATCAACTATTAAAAAAAATTCACATGGAATACATTTATCTAATATATTAATAAAAAAATATAGTTACAAAACTAAATTATACATGAGCGAAATAAAAATTTGTATAGATTTAATAGGGTATAAAAGAAACATATATTCGTATCATAATGTTTAACAGAAAAACATAAAACAAAATCAAGTTTACATCCTATTAAGTTTTTTCTCATGAATTCATCTCAATTACAAAAATGAAAATTATGAGCTTCAATTATGACGACTCCTATAATCTGCCCACATCTGCATCGCAGGTTCATCTCTAAACTCAGACCACTCATCTCTCTCCCTTTGACTCCTCTCAAATACTTCCAACTCTGGAACTTCCACTAATGGTGGATGGTTTCTATAAGTTATTACATCTTCATAATCAGGAAGGTCACCGTCTTCACTTATGATGAAATTGTATAAAATACAGCTTGCAACAACTATCTTGACTTGTGTTGTGATTTGATAGGTAGTAGTCATTTTTAAGGTAGGGAAATGTGCCTTTATAACTCCAAATGCACATTCAATGGCATTTATGAGCGAGGAATGTTGTTTATTAAACAACTCCTTCTAGTTCTATGGTTTTTCTCTACCACGACCATAATCATTCAAATGGTAACGAGTCTTATGATAAAGAGCAAGAAATCCTGGGATATTAGGGTACCCATCTTCTACAAGATAGTATTTTACTACGAAATGAATATTTGATTGCGATTAAAATCAATTGGTAACTTTGTATATAGTTTTATGTGAACAAATATAGTAACAAAGAGATAGTCGAAATGCCATTAGGAACTACAACAGGATCATCACAGGAGAGTAATGATTGCAAAATATGAGAACCAGCAGCAAAACCCTCACCTCCAGCAAGAATATATTGGAATTGAAGGTTAAATAAGCAAACGCCCATTGCATTTTGTGATGTAAAATGCTTCCTATTAAGAAATTTTTTTCTGGAGACTAGTCTGAACAGTTGTCAGGATATGAGTATCATCAATGGCTCCAACACAATCCTATTATTGAGAATGTGCATTCACCAAATGAAACCTCCATTATATCAGTGATATTTCAATATTCCTCAAGATAGAGTAAGCTCCTTTACTCATTCTAATATGGTTTCAATAGTCCAACTCAGTGGAGTTAATTATAGTTTTATGGTACTTTATACCAATTGAATTACGCTTTTTTGTAGATGATTTATACACATAGGTTGCTAGAACAGTACCTGAAACAGCTAGAGAACTACCAGTTGCGGCAA